GGAAATGTGCAGAGACTGAACAGCCTGTGTGTGTGTGTGTGTGTGTGTGTGTGTGTGTGTGTGTGTGTGTTTAACTAGGATTAGACAGCCTAAAAACATCCCAGAAGGAAAAAAAGCAAGGGAGAGTTTGATTTTTTGACAGTGAAGAAATAATGCACAAATAAAGTGCTTTAAGCCAAGATGTCTGGCATTCTCTTTTAAGAATCAGGAATATCCTACCTAGGAGCCACCTCTAAATATCTTTGAGGAATTCATACAGCAAATACAAATCTCTCAAGCCAGCACTCAAGGCTGTCCATGATCTCACATGTGGCCTATTTTCCACATGTGGCCTCCTGTCCAGGCCCCCCTCCCACTTGTGAGTTCTGTAGTCTAGCCATCCTGGATAACTTCTCATGCATTTTCCTCTCTGACTTCTGCTCATGCTGTTCCCCTCACACTTGATAAAACCCGTCTTTTGAGGTCAGTTAAAAACACTACATCTTCATAGGATGCTTCCTCCTCCCCCAGCACCAGATGTGAGCCCCTCTGCTGTATCTCAGAAGCTCCCCATTTACCCTCCTCTTAAGAACTGAGCTGCTGTGGCCTTGAATTACTTACTGATCTTATCCCCTCCACCAGACATAAGCACATAAGCATGGAGACGTGTGTCTTCCGGGACTTGCACTCAATAATCATTTGCTGATTTGAAGTGAACTGATGAGGCTAATTTATTTTACAGTACTCCAGTGCATTGGTTGTCTAATAGCCGCTCCAAGGCCCTTCACTGATCCAAAACCTCATCTGCTATAATATTAGTGTTTATAATAACACACAGGTTCCTGAGATAAATAATTTAATTATCCCATGCTTATTAATGTCTCACCAAAAGCAGAACAATATATACTTCTCTTTGAATAAGTTTGGGGTTTTTTTTAATATTGTTTGGTTGTGTGTCTGTGTGAGTATGTGTGTTTGTGAGCATGCAACACCTGTAGATGTGTGTCTCACCAAAAGCAGAACAATAATACTTCTCTTTGAATAAGTTTGGGGTTTTTTTTAATATTGTTTGGTTGTGTGTCTGTGTGAGTACGTGTGTTTGTGAGCATGCAACACCTGTAGATGTGTGTTAACAAGCAGGGCCACAGGGATAAGCAACAACAGTGAACTTCTGACAAACATGTAAACTTCAAGCCTCGAAGTATAGCTTATGAAAGTACCAACCATGCTTCCAAATTTCAAGGTGAAATAAACTTGGCTGAACCACGAGAAGCCAACACTTCGACACATTTTGTTCTGAAGCTGAGGAAAATGCTGCTGAATTTGTTGAATATTTTGCTTCTAAGAGATTAACAGCATTTCTTTCTTGGGGCTAAAATCAATGATGCAGAGCATCTGACATTGCCTTGTTTTATAATCCTTACAAAATGGGTGTGTGGCCAGTGACTCGGGGCTTGATAAACTTTATATTATCCAAGCATGATATGAAAGTCCAAAGCATGCTGATGGCCAGATATAAGCTGGTAAGAATCAGATCAAATGTAATTAATATGAACATGTTCTACTTGTAAAGTGCTCCCCAAGTGGTGACAGATTAACCCTCCTAACATCCTTTAAGAAGATAAGAAAAAATTATGAGTCACTTTTATCAATGGCACAGTTGGAGTATGCAAAGTTTTAGAGTTTCACACGGTCACCCCCAATTACCTGCAAATTATCCTGCTCACTGATGGGTCTTGGTGTGCTCTGTGGAGCACCTGCTTGACTGTCATATATGAAAAGCAATCAGATAAAGGCCTGAGTGCCCTTCTGAAACATTGAGTTCAACTCTGCCCCAGTTAGCACCAGATTCCATGGGCCCTTTGTTTTTCCCTCCCCAGTTATGCTCATGTGGCATCAGTGAGACACACAGATTCTGGAACCAAAGTACCTAGCTTCAGTACCCCACAGAGCAGTAATGCACTCCTGGGAAGTCCCCTTACTTTTCCCTCATGTATAAAATGAACCTAATGATGGGACATGCCCCATTAGGGCTGCTGTAAGGGTGAAATCAAACATTCTTTGCAACTTGTGTTTTACCAAAAATATTCATTTTGACCTACTTTTCCCAGAAGCCTCTCCCTCCAACAATATTCATATGTAAAACCAACAAAAGCACTCATCAGATTCCAGAGAGGGTGAATTTGAGGGTGAGGGAGGTCTTGCTGCATGTTTGCCTTAATAATCTCAGTTTTCGTC